ATTGTGGAACAAACAAACCCCCAAATTGTCCTTATACAGTTACAGAGAAGTGGACCCAGAGGTGAGGTCACACTCTTCAGAATGGAGCTGGAGTGGGACTGAATAATTAGGGAAGAAGTATTGTCTCCCATTAAGTCACTGCTTTAGGGTGAAGACTGTGATTCCAGCCTTCCCATTACTGTGCCCTACACCTCCGGCTCCGGGGGAGGCTTGTCCAAGAACACTTGATGGACAAGAAATGTACTCCTAGACGCTTGGGATTAACACACACACCACTGTGTACAACACGGGTAAGCAACAAGCATCGATGCAGAGCACAGAGACGTCTACGACGAACCCTGCAACAAGCTACACGGGAAAGGAGGTGCTGTGTTCAGCCCTGTCTGACTGTTTCAGCTCCGTGGACAGCAGCCTTCTAGGCTCCCCTGTCCACAGGGTTCTCCAACAAGAACACTAGACTGGGCTGCCATTTCCTCCTCCAGGGGATCGTCTCAGCCCAGGGATCGCACCCTCTTCTCTTGCGCCTCCTGCCATGGCAGGCAGATTCTTCTAGTGCCACTAAGTTATACAATAAGCGAACCACTCTGCCGCATACCTGAAACTAACTCAACATTGTTAGTCAACTGTACTCCAATATAAAATAAAAATTGAGCTTAAAAAAGGAAGAAATAGACTCCTTCCACCGCAAAGGCGGCCTGGGAGTGTCACTCTTGGAGCTCCGGGCTGTGAGGTTTCTCGGGTCTTGGAGGTGGGGTGGGGGTGGTGAGGGTGGCCCAGGGTGAACAGAGTTTTTACAAACACCCAGAGTATCCACTACTGCTAATTGACACCTGAGCCCTAAATACCTGCACACGGTGCAGCCCTGGGCTAAGGGAGGAATCGGAACAGCTGGAAGATTCATTAATAATTAAGTGGTAAAAAAAAGATTGGACCTCCTGAAACCGCAGCCCTTGATGTGGTTCTACTGGACCACGTCTGGTCCGTCCGTCCACGTGGTCCGTCCATTCTACTGGACGGAGCTGCACCATCCTGCACCACTTCATGCACTTTCTTCCATACTCTGTTTCCTTTCCTCCAAAAATTCTAAGCATTGTAGCACATAATTTAGCTTTTCTGAAAACCCAAGTCTAAATTAATTACAGTTCTGCTAAAGGGGGGAGAAAAGATATTAGATGCTCAAGCTAAAATAGAATGAAATCTAGTTTTTTCTTCCTTTATTAGATTTTAATGGTATTATTATAATAATTAAGCTTTTCATTAATTTTTTCATGCTTATTGAGTCCCAGTTCCCTGCAGGTCTGAATCATATTTAACATATAATTATGGCAGTCCATTTTTAGAAGGGGATTTGAATGTGGGGAGGTGGGGATTTACCTACACTTCTTATTAAAATGAGCAGCAAAGGGACCAGCTTGCTCTTTGCTGCTGAGTCCACAGTGGCTCCAGTGAAGCTTCCCACCGCCTCTCGGAGGGGGTCTGGGGCTGGACCCCAAAGGTGCAGGGATGCAGCTATCTTGAAAAGTAAGGAGCAGAACATATGATTTTAAACATATAAAGCCATCAGTATAGGTGAGGAAAACCCTGCCACACGTGGGCATAGAAACAGGAGTGTGCCTACAGCATTTTCAAGCCTCAAAGCTTACACCCTTGGGTGCGATGGCATCTGGTCCTACCCTCCCATCAGACGGAAACGCACCTCTCTGTGTATCTCCACTGGCCACGCTAGGCTTCTCTCAGCTCTGTGCTGACAGCAGCGTAGATTTCTTCTTTTCATATCGCCCAGTTGACTTTTGAGCATCTGATGTGCTAGAAAACAATCAAATGATGGCAGACACTCGAGGCTGGTTCAAGCGGCAGGAGTGTGTCTGGCTGGGTGAGTGGGGACTGATGGCAGCGCTGCGGGAGAGGCGACCCAAGGGGACCATCCTGCCGCTTTGGGCTTGCGGGTGCCACCTGGGGTCTGGAGACTGCACAGTCCTTCTCCTCCGAGACCGGACAGGGTGTTAGCACCTGTGACCCCTGCCGGCTCTCCCAGAAGTAAGTCCAAAGGGTAGGCATGTGTGAATGTCGTTTCCTCACTCATGTTTTGCAAAGCGTGTCCGTGGGTGAGTGGTGGAGACCAGGGAAAGGACGGGAGTGCTGGGCAGCAGCCGTGTCACTGCAGTCTCAGGGATAAAACCGAAACGGACGGCAGACGTGGATGCGAATCTGCAGGTGTAAGTGTCCGCCAGGCACCAGTGTCTGTCACCAGTGTCAACAGCTTACAAACGACGAGTTACAAGGGCATTAAAACAGATACAGATAGAGGTGCTCTGCAGACATACCTTCAGACTTGTTGGAATTCTCACCCTCAAATCTGGGTAACAAGAGACCCCCACCGCACTCTGCGGTGGGAGCATCCTTGTTCCCCTCTCTCCAGAAATTCATCCCGGAGTCCATTTACCAACATCCCTCCCTGCTGTGTACCATCCTTGACCAACTCCTGATGGGTTTTGTTTGAAGGAGACAGGATAGGTGAGCCATTCTAGAGCTTCTCAAGCTTCAGTCTCCATGGGGAAGACCTGGCAACGTCATTTTACCCCCGGGGGTCGGTGAGGAGGACAGATTTCCCAGCTTCTGAGTGTCCTCCTGGGCCTCTCACCCCTGTGGATGCTCCCCAGAGCTGCTCCGGCCCCTCAGGCTCAGGCTCAGCTCAGGAGGACGATGCACACGCAGAGAAGGTCAGGCTGCACTGATTCCCGGCCAGCTGCCTTAGACAGCCACCTTCGCAGAGAGTGGCCCCCAGGGTATGGGAGGCCCTCTGCTCCAGGCAGGCTGGCCTGCACCAGGATGGAGGCAGCCTTGCGGGGCGGGGCGGCTGCGGGGCAGACAGGCCTGAATGCACATGGAAGTCATCTCGCCGATCGGCAAAGGGCCAGCGCCCCTGGTCTGGGGGCAGCTCCCCACACCCCGTAGTGAGTCAGGTGCAGCCTTGGAGGAGGTGGGCAGAGGCCTCCTCAGAGGAAAGCCACAAGCTCCCAACTGGCCACAGCCACCACAGGACTCAGCCAGCTCACTGGGGCAGCCACACCCGCAGAAGCACGGTCGCTTTTGCTTGGCCAGCTTCTGGGATGCAGCCTGGGATGTTCCTCAGCATCCAAGCCAACCACGCTCTGCCCACTAGCTCAACAACAGTTCCTGTTCCTGCTGGCCACAGGTACCCCCAGGACCTGCTCTGGCTGCCAGGAGCCAGGAAAGGAGGGGGAATCACCCTGAGCCTACTGTGAGGCCAGGCGTCACCCAGGGCAGGCTGCTCCATCAGCTGGAGGCAGAAGCCCCTGCAGAGCGAGGAAGGGGCAGGCCACAGGCTCGAGCACAGTCAGGTTCCAGGGAGACACTCTGAGGGTCCTGGGTACCCATCATCCCATCTCCTGTCCAGCCGGGCAGCCTCCAAGGGGCCTCCACGCTGGAGTCCAGCTGTCCTGATGGAGCCCTTGTGTTGCCCGCTGTGTCTGCAAAAAGGAAGAAAGAAAGAAACACAAGACAAGAAAAAGAAGAATTTGTTTTTTAAAAGGACCCCAAACTCAGCCTGTGGAGATGGGAGGAGTTTCCACTCCAGCCCACTGCACTCAGCTCCGTCCACACAGGATGCCGGGTGCTGGTATAACTTGCCTTTGGGGACACAAACCACTCTCTTCTACACGGACATGAAGTCCTGGGTCCTTGGAAGCCCCGTCGACTCTCCCAGGACCCATTTCAACATCTGCACAGGAGCTTTGGACCGAATCAGGGTACTCAAAGGTTAGCATGTGTTGGTGGCGCCAGACAGCCTGATGGAAGATGCTGCTATATGTCTGTCTGTGTGTGTGTGTGTAGGTTTGGGGACCAAACACAGCTGAGGTTCCTGAGGACCACCCAAGAGGAAGGCCACTCCATCCTTCCACTCTTCTCGTCGGATTCTTGGAAGGCATTTAAAATAACCCCCACCTGTTCTGGCCAGTCACCTGCCTGCTCACCTCTCTGTATCCACCCGAGCCTTCAGGCTGACCAGGGAGATTCCCGTCCCCTCTAAATGAGGACCCTGAGGTACATGAACTTGTCTCTAGGCCACAAAACTCATTAGGATCCAGGTATAATTTCTTACAGATTCCAGTCTCCCTCTGTGGTCCTGGTTGAGGGTACCTGTGGGCCAGCCTCCCAGACAGTTACCAGGGCCAACCTTGGCCCAGTACCAGGGGCATTTGCCAAGGCCAGGGGGTGGACCCTGACGACTCTCAGGTCCTATCTCCACACCTTGGCTCTTGAAGGCAGTTTTCTGAGCCCGCTGGGACTCAGTCTGTCCACACAGGGAGCTGGCAGTTCTCTGAGGCTGTGCTCGGAAGGATGGGCAAACCGATCTTGCTCCTTGGCAAAGCTGACCAAGGAGTAAATCAAGATACAGCACATGAGAACGTCTCCTCTTTCGGGACGAGCCAAGGAAAGGCTAATATACAGAAAGCTGGCCTGTAGCCAGGCTGCTCCCAAGCTTCCAGGCTTCACGAAGCGACTCAGGCCCTCCCTGCCATGGAAATGCCGGCAGACCCTCATCCCATGAAAGCCCTCCCACCTCCTCCCTGAGAAGCCGCTTCCAACACGGCTGCCCCACAGCTCCTGCTCCTGTCTGCAAAGGCAGGAACACGGATCCTCACTAAACATTCATGAGACTGGCAGGCGGGGCCTCCTTCCCAGACTGCGCGGCCCGTGGGTGCGTTCTCCCTGAGTGCACTCGGTGGGCAGATGCGCCTCGTTCCGACAGTTGGCTTTTTGTGCAGAGAATTTGTCTGGCATGCCCAAGCTGCTCGTGCCCATCTATTATTAAAAAGCAAAAACCCTGATGCTGAACCGAGGTCCCCATCACATGGCACCAGGCTACCTTCTTTTCCAAGGATGGTTCGAGCAGACCCCCCACCCCACCCCGCAACAAGACAGCCCCTTCCCCAAGGAGCAGAGAGTGATGAGATCTTCCCACCTCCTCCTTCAACCTCTCTGCCTGGGAAATCCTCAAAGGCCCTTTGACTGTCTTTAGGATGCCCTTTGATGGCATCCTTGCTCTGGCCAGGAGGCCGCCGAGCCGATCTGAAGAGGAAACACGAATGGATATTGCTGGTGACACGTCGTGAACTTGTCTGTCTCTCGTATCTGCAGAGAACACAGGCCTCCGGGGCTCGTCCTGCCCTGCTCCATTTTCAATGACCAGCCCGGAGAGGCAGGCAGAGCCAGCTGCTGTCGCCTTGGCAGATTTCATTCCTGATCAAACAGCAGCCGCGGCCACTCCGTGCACAGCCAATGCCTCCCACAGCCAACACCTCCCGCTGCCCAGGGGCCATCCCATGGTCAACGCCTCCCGCTGCCCAGGAGCCATCCCACAGCCAACACCTCCCGCTGCCCAGGGGCCATCCCATGGTCAACGCCTCCCGCTGCCCAGGAGCCATCCCACAGCCAACACCTCCCGCTGCCCAGGGGCCATCCCATGGTCAACGCCTCCCGCTGCCCAGGAGCCATCCCATGGTAAATGCCTCCCGCTGCCCAGGAGCCATCCCACGGCCAACGCCTCCCGCTGCCCAGGGGCCATCCCATGGCCAACGCCTCCCGCTGCCCAGGGGCCATCCCATGGCCAACGCCTCCTGCTGCCCAGGGGCCATCCCATGGTCAACGCCTCCTGCTGCCCAGGAGCCATCCCATGGTAAATGCCTCCCGCTGCCCAGGAGCCATCCCACGGCCAACGCCTCCCGCTGCCCAGGAGCCATCCCATGGTCAACGCCTCCCGCTGCCCAGGGGCCATCCCATGGCCAACGCCTCCCGCTGCCCAGGGGCCATCCCATAGCCAACACCTCCCACTGCCCAGGGGCCATCCCATGGTCAACGCCTCCCGCTGCCCAGGGGCCATCCCATGGCCAACGCCTCCCGCTGCCCAGGGGCCATCCCATAGCCAACACCTCCCACTGCCCAGGGGCCATCCCATGGTCAACGCCTCCCGCTGCCCAGGGGCCATCCCATGGCCAACGCCTCCCGCTGCCCAGGGGCCATCCCATAGCCAACACCTCCCGCTGCCCAGGTGCCATCCCATGGTCAACGCCTCCCGCTGCCCAGGAGCCATCCCATGGTCAATGCCTCCCGCTGCCCAGGAGCCATCCCATGGTAAATGCCTCCCGCTGCCCAGGAGCCATCCCACGGTCAACGCCTCCCGCTGCCCAGGAGCCATCCCATGGTCAATGCCTCCCGCTGCCCAGGAGCCATCCCATAGCCAACACCTCCCGCTGCCCAGGAGCCATCCCATAGCCAACACCTCCCGCTGCCCAGGAGCCATCCCACAGCCAACACCTCCCGCTGCCCAGGAGCCATCCCATAGCCAACGCCTCCCGCTGCCCAGGAGCCAACCCATGGCCCTGCCCTGGGCCCAGCTTCTTCACACCCCAGGGAGCCAGCCCAGTAGGGGAGGCCTGGGTTTCACAAGGAAAATCCCCACTGTGTGGATTTGTGCTGAGGAGTGGTTCTCAGACTGTGTTTGTAGACCCATTTCTAGCTCCATCTGACTGAATCCAATCCACAAACCTGTAACAGACACTTAGATGGGGTTATAAAGGGACTTTGAGGTCACCTTTCCTCCAGGGCACCAACCCATGACCATCCTGTTACCGAGTCTAAGCTTGTACAAGAGGCTAGTGAATCTGGGAGATGAGGTGGTGTGGCAAGGAACACGATTTTGAACATGACTTTATTGGAAAAGTCGGTTGACAAAGAAGGTGGCAGATCAACATCTCAAAATAACCATCTTATGGGCTCTGGATGCCAGGTTCTTTTATAGAACAGAGATGAGGGAGGTGAGGAAGTAAAGTCAAAAGGCAGAATAGAGAAGCAGAGGTGGTGAAGAAGTAAAATAAAGAGCCGTCAGTCTTGCAAGTACCTCCTCGAGTGGCAAGCCTCAGGCAGGAGATGTGTTCATTTCTTCCTTCCTAGCATCTGCAGGCGGACAAGGTCCTGAACAAACACATTTTAGTTTAACAGTCAGACTGAGGGGCAGGGTTTTGATTATAACAACAACAGCAAGGAAAAGCAGGTCAAAGAAACAGTTCCAATATGGAGTCAGAATTGGCTTGTTTCTGTAACACCCCAGACGTGTGGACACCCACTGCCAAACTGACAGTGAGCTGAGGACAGGCGTCTTCTTGGAGACCTTCAAAGGAAAGTGGAAACACTGTTTAGAAACCTCAGGGGCCTGGGGAGTACACTGGGGGTCTTGTTCTCTAAACCTTGGGGCCACCCTCCACCTGGGCTGCCGGGTGAGGAGGCGGGAGCCTGCTCTGTGCCTCCAGGATGGACTTGTCCACCAAGCGGTTTAAATTCCTGCAAATTCCAAGGTTCCCAGATGTGCTTAAACCCAGCCCAGGCACCCCTGGGGGGTCAAGGGCTTCGGAGGCCTCTGCCCGCCCCTCCCATAGCCCCAGGCGACGGTGGAGACAGCTGGCCCAGAGGATGCTGAGGGCATGTGACAAGAGGTACAGCCACTCAAGCAGAGATGTTCCGAGTCCAACATGGGGCCTCCTCTCTGGAAGGAATTGTTCTTTCTCATCAGAAAATAAATGAAAAGTGAGCATTCTGGTGTAGAGTCTTCTTTCTTCAAGAAGCCAAAGGCTGATTCGTGTCTCCTCCCGAAGAGGTTGACCTGCTGTTTAGCTAATTGTAAATGATCACAGATTATTGGGAACCTCAGTTTAGACTTAGACAGAGGTCCACGTTTACAGATAGGCATAGCTTTCACTTTTTCAGGTGACTCTTAATGTTAAATGTGGTTCATCAGATCAAAAGTGGTGACACTGATGAATCCTGGCACGCGTCTGAGAAGCAGGCTGGCTCCCGAGTTAATGGGGTGATGGGGAAGGTGCAGGTTTCCTGGAACTGCACCTGGTGGGTCCCGGCAGGAGGCACACACCCCAGGACCCAGCATTTGCATTCTCTGCTCTGGCATTCATCTGCAGGCAGTGAAAACAGTGTTCACACCGAGCCCACACGTGAGTGTTCACAGCAGCTTTATTTGTAGCCCCTCACGCAGGAGACAGGGCCAGGGTCTCCCTCAGGTACATGTTAATGATATACTGAGGTCCTCCCAGCCCTGATTTTCCTTAGCGTTGGTGGCAACTGGGATGTATCTCGGGACCATCACGTCGAGTGAAAGAAATCCCACTTCAGTGCATCCTGCATGATTCCACTTTAGACGATGCTTAAAATGACATATAAATAAGTAAAGATGGAGACGATTTTCATGGCTGCTGAGGCTGGGAAGAAGGGAAGGGTGGGCATGGCTGTGGTGATGTTAGCCCAGGGATTCTCGTGAGGTTATGGATCTGTATCCAGACTGAGCTGATGTTGATCGGAGTTACGCTGTGAGTGCGACAAAACCACCTAGGATAGCGACACATGAAGGCAGGTAACTGTGAGCTCTGGAAGAGCCCCGTGGATGGCTCCCATGGTGATGCCCTGATTGCAACGCCGTTCTTCCCATGAACCCAGATGTTACCATCAGGGAAAACTTGATGAAAGGTTTGCAGGATCTCTGTTAATTCTTAAAACTACATGCATATCTACAGTTAACTCTAAATCTAAACATTAACTGAAAAAATTTTTAGTCTTCTAAGAAAAGAGTCATTATAGATTAAATATTAAGCTCTGCAAGTGAGTATATGTACACACACAGGTATATAGGTTGTCCTCCTCTTACCATGGTTGGACTTGGGTGATTTTTGACTTTATGATGGTGTGAAGGTGATACTCAATCAGATCAGTTCAGCTCACTTCAGTAGCTCGGTCGTATCTGACTCTGTGACCCCATGGACTGCAGCATGCCAGGCCTCCCTGTCCATCACCAACTCCCGGAGTTTACTCAAACCCATGCCCATTGAGTCAGTGATGCCATCCAACCATCTCATCCTCTGTCGTCCCCTTCTCCTCCTGCGTTCACTCTTTCCCAGCATCAGGGTCTTTTCCCATGAGTCAGTTCTTTGCATCAAGTGGCCAAAGTATTGAAGCTTCAGCTTCAGCATCAGTCCTTCCAGTGACTGCTCATTCAGTAGAAACTATATTTCGAATTTTGAATTCTTCTCCTTTTCCTGTGTTGGTGACACTTGGAATGACACTCTGCAGATGCTGGGCAGCAGCCACGAGCTGCCCCCCGCCGGGGGGTAACAACTGACATACTTACAGTCATTCTACGCAGACAGTCATTCTGTTTTCCACTTTCAGTGCTGTATTCAATTCCAAGCGCTGTTCAACACTTTATTATAAGAGAGACTTCGTGTTGTAGGAGTTTGCCCCACTGTAGGCTCATGTAAGTGTTCTGAGCACATTTTAGGTGGTTGGAGCTAAGTAAGCTATAATGTTCAGAAGGTGAAGTGTATGCACTACTTTTTGCATTAGTGATATTTTAAAATTGTGATTGTTTTACCAGGACATAACCTCATCCTAAGCCAAGGAAGATCTGTACTGAACACACACACATGTGTATTAGGGTTATCCAGAGGAACAGAACCAATATATAAGACAAGATTCAGTCTAGAAATTGGACCACACAGTCACGGAGACTGAGAAGTGTCAGCTCTGCTGCTGCAACTGGAGACCCAGAGGGCAGCTGGTTTGAGTCCCCCCGAATCTGAAGACCTGAGGATCGGGCACTCATGTCTGAGGGCAAGAGGAGACTGTGTCTGGGCTCAGACGAGAGCAGGCCCCCTCCTCCACCTTCCTGCCCTGCTCAGACTTCCGTGGATTGGATGCAGCCCCCACACGTGGATTGGTAAAGGGGACCTGGACTCAGCTCCCCTCCATTCGAATGCTGATCTCTTCCAGAAACAGCCTCAGACATGCCCAGGAGTGATGTTTGACCAGCTCTCTGGGCATGTCTCAGCCCAGTCAGATTGACACATAAATTAACCATCACTGTATACAATGTGCATACACACATATATATGTTATATATGTGTGTGTATGTGTATTTTGTTATTGTTGTTCAGTTGCTAAGTCATGTCTGACTCTTTGTGACCCCATGGGCTGCAGCACGCCAGGCTCTTCTGTCCTGCACTATCTCCCAGAGTTTGCTCAAACTCATGTCCATTGAATCAGTGATGCCATCCAAACATCTCATCCTCTGTTGTCCCCTTCTCCTCCTGCTTTCAATCCTTCTCAGCATCAGGATCTTTACCAATGAGTTGTCTCTTCACATCAGGTGGCCAAAGTAATGGAGCTTCAGCTTGAGCA